GACCTCACGCCAGCGTTATGAAGACGGTTTCTGAATGTTTGTGTAGAAATTCTGACGTCAGTGGTATTCAGCAAGTCATTTGCAGAGCAGTTGCCATAACAAAGCGCAGGCGTCGCGCTAGGGCTGTTCTCGCCAAGTTGTAACCCTCTCACTGCCACTACTATGCCTATTTTGTCGTATTTTTGCCTTTTGCTCCGTGGAGCACCAGACGGAAATACGGCAAAGTAATCATTTTGTCGTATTTTCGCTCCACGGGTAGCCAGGTTAAAAAATATTGAACAATATCGACAGATATACAGGGTTCTCCAAGAACAAAGGCTGACAGAAGAAAACCTTTACCAACATAATCAATAGAAAAACTATATTTCTAAAGAACACATACTATCAGATCCCTATTATCTGAATCTAATATGCGTCTCATGTCTCATCATATCAGTATTAATATTGTCATAAACATAATGAATAATATTATTTTACAACCGTCGAGTTTTTTTTCCTGCAACCTTCGTAATTATATAGACCGGATTGACATACTTTCTCATGAATAAAAACTTTATCAAAAAAAAGACTTTATATCTTTTTTGATGACGTTACAAATGTTACATTTAATTGAAAACTTACAAACAGAATGTTCAATGACTGAAGAATCAAAAGAGTTTACATAGTCAAATGATTTTGTTTTTACAAAATTCTCGGCGAAAAAGATTCACAACATTTTCATTAATTTGCAAATTTCTGTTTAGTTCCTTTTATCTATCCTCAAGACAATTTGAGGAATCCTCAAGTCAATTTGAGGAATACGGACAAGAGCTTGAACACCAGGATGATCTAATTTAACCTTGTCTTTAATCCAACATGATACACAGATATATGTTGTGATAATCTAGCAATGCCTTTGATAACAGTAATATGAGGAGACATTTGAGCCACGTCACGACAAAACCAATATAATAAGTTTGCGACCCGAATGGATCCAGACCAGCCTGCGCATCCGCACAGTCTGATCAGGATCCATGCTGTTCGAATTCAGTTTCTCTACTTATTATAGGGTTTGTAAGCGAACAGCATGGATCCTGATCAGACTGCGCGGAGCGCAGGCTGGTCTGGATCCATGCTGGTCGCATACGCACTATATGTTTTGTCGTGACGTGGCTCATTTATTTCTTTACAATTGGCAGCCGAACCAAACTTCTACAGTATCTGATCAGTACGTTTCAGTGTTGTGTCATATATCCTCTTATCACGTTACCATGACTAACATGACTATACAAAATTGCTGTTTCAACACATTGATGTGAATTTTCCAATTTAAGAATACCTTAATCAATCGTAACATAGTTGCATACAAACTTAAAAAAACAACACAGTCGTAAAGAACAAAGATGCATTGCTTTTTTTATCAATTCAACTCCAGCCTTACAAAATAATTTCTAATCTCCCCTCAACAAATAAATTCAATTTTCAATTTGTCAAATGTAACTGAACCAGTTACATATTCAAATCTTAGGCTGAATTCCTATTTGATCCCAGCCTTAGCTAAACCAGGTACGTATATTGCATCATACTGGGAAAATATGTCTTCACCAATATTGCATGAATTTGACTTGACTTTTCGTCGTAGACTTTGGTTCTTTCTCAAATCATTAAGTGTAATATTTGCATCTTCAACAATTTGTTTGGTTTCTTTGTGTTTTATTTTATGTCTTATATCATTATTACAAGATCTTTTATAATTATTATTATTATAATTATTATTATTATTATTATTATTATTATTATTATTATTATTATTATTATTATTATTATTATTATTATTAGACATTACTGTTGTTTCGTGTATTATTTGAAGATTGAACAATCTCGCCTCTTAATTTCAACGTTCAATTGGCTTCCTCAGAATTTCAGCTTCAGATAACTGCTCCTTGCATTATTCCTTCTTGGTATAAGGCACTCAGTTCTTTACTTATCCGAATGACATCAGAATCATTTTACCGTCCTCTCTATTCACGTCTGTATCTCCCACAAAAATTCATCTTCATCATGAAAAATTGCATACTTTTGAGCAAATGGGGGCAACAGGGCCGCAACAATAAATGTTTTAGCGTTGTTTGACTAAGGACGTGATAGTCAGCCTATCTGTACCACTGTACTTTTGTCTGCCTACAAAAGTGGATAAGCAGGCACAATTGAGAAGCGCATGGACTCAGCGGGGGTCTATAAAAGAGCTAGTTCGACGGTCGCTGTTATCCTGGTACGTACTACATGCATATTTGTTTTAGTTGTAACAATGTTTGATCTTCCTAAGTTTAAGAGTAAACATAATACATTGTATATTAATTCATAAACTTGAAGGTTATGAAAATGTGATATTGTTGAAGTTCATGATTTTATAGATAGATAGATTTATTCTGGTAAAACAATACATGTCATAAAAAACTACTATTTCAATGCCAACATCAAGAAATACATGTGAACATGAAAGTGCAAGTGTTGATGCCATATATTCAATACCAAGTATGACACAAAATGAAGTCATAAAGCCGACTTATTTCCACTGTGGTCCTTAGAATTGATCATATGACACCACAAAGGCAAATTAATTACTATTAACAAATATTGCACTTGAATTATTCAATCACAAGTTGCTTATATTCTTATTCCAAATTGTTGCATCACAGATTGCATCACTCATGTACTATAATTATAATTATGACAAAAAAAATGTCTGACAATGAAAAGGAACTACTGAAAATTTTCACAGAACATAAAAAATGAATAAAATGACTGGATTAAATGGACTAGACAGAGATTTATTGCATAAAATGTTCCTTAAGAGATGTCTTAAAATGATCAAGACTGTTATGGACCTTAGATGTCTTGGTAACCTGTTACATTCCTGACAACCATTATATATAAATATAAATACATAATACAAATGTTTTCTTTCCAAAACTCTTAACTCTGTGAATAGAATAACTGTTACTACCTCTAAATCGAGTGGAGTATGAGTGTACCTCATTTGCAAGTTGAAATTGCTCATTTAGATAACTAGGTGCACTATTGTTGTGTATCTTATGTACATGACCAAGAATAAGGAACACCCTCAAATGCACTGGTAACCAACCAACTTCCTCAAACTGAGCCCTCCCTATATCAGTACGGGGACTGAGATTAAGTATAAATCTACCCATCTTATTCTGTGTGGCCTGAAGTCTTGTTTCAGAATTCGACTCAACTCCAAATACCAGGAGGCATACGCATTACCAAAATGACAAAATATTGTAGATAAATGATGGAGTTTAATTTTGTTTGAATTACAGTACGTTGTATCTATTTAAAAAATTAAAAAGGAGTTAACAAAATAATTTTTCATATTCCTTTATATTCGAAAAAAATCGAGCTTTTGCAACAGGCACGGTGTCGTTCTGTAGCCGTTTGTAAACTTTAACATTGACTTATGTTCAGAAGTTCTTTATGTATTGTATCTAACACATGGACACAAGACTTCAGTTATGTATTTACCGATTTGATTGATTCTTTGACAAAAGAACATTTTTGACAAAATTGACATGATAAAAAAATTATTTAAATATGACCGTGACTCTTAAATGATCTGTCTAGGTTAAATTGTTGTACTGGTATTTTGTTTAAAGTGTCATCACTTTGTTATCTACATGTATTTACATATTTGATTCATATTTATATTACTCCACTGAGGTCAAATGGGCCTATAAACATACAATTCGAAACTCTTGAATAGTGCTTTATAGTTTTTCTGTTATTCATACTGTTATTCATACTGCATATGGATATAATTGAAATGATCATTGAAGCAACAAAACCACCCACATTGTAAGCCAGCATAGTCTAATCGAAAATGCCCGCTATTACAGCTCGAATCGAAAACAGCTGTCATTGACTAAACCGAAAGTAGGAATAGTTGAAGTAAGTTTACAAAACTCTTCTTATAAATATTGCAGATTTTTTTTACCGTTTTGACATATTTTTATGACATTGTGAATTACCAGTTTCAGGTTCGAATTAATTTAATTTGCATTTAAACCATAGGCACTTGGTTTCGAGGTAAAATAACCATTTAAGAGATTTGTAGAACTCAAATAATAATTGAATGTTACAAGGGTCTGGCTATAATCTTGTTACAACGTAACGTGTCTCTTTTCTAAAACCGTCATTTTCCGATATTACTAAAATTTAGTAATATTGGAAAATATTTAGAATCGAGACATTTACGTTAAAAAAATCGTTACATTCAATCAAATTTGAGTTCTACAAAGCCTTAAACCGAAACCAAGTGCATATTATGATTTAAACAGGTCTCATTTATCATTCAATTGATTATTCAGCTAATAGAAATCGGCATATTTGCATTTAAGAAAATAGGTTTTGAAATCGAAAGTAAGTCCAGAACCTAGTGTTAATTCCTAACTTTTAAGTTTTCAACGAACTTTTTGTCTGTAAAAATAATTAAACGTTAACAAGTCATTCGACATACTGTTATGTCTATTATTAAATAAATATATCTACCCTGAAAACCACATATTTTTATATATTATTGATCAAAGAGTCCGTCTTGATGATATTTTTCTTAAAATTATACATGGGCAGCCTTAATAAAATTTAGGTCAAAACTAAAATTGAATCAAAGCGCTAAAAGTACTGTGAGGGTGTATAATTTGCGATAACTTTGATCAAACTTTGAAAAAACCGGTAAGCATGAAAACTTCTGAAATAGGATTGCCAATGAAATTGAATTTCTCTCGGTAATAAAAAAACTATGCTAGAGCCTAGAAAGATCATGATCTGATCAACAAAACAACATATTTGATACACAGACTACAATCATAACAGATTTTGTTCATACAAAAAGTAGGCTATTTGTTTGTGAAGACAATGTCTAGTTGAAGACCATTATTCCTCAGAAATGCTTTTATTTTTATTTCTTAAAAGCTTTTAAATTTTGGTGTTCTTTTGTAGTATCCAACAATTTACTCATTAGCCAATTACGTCCTGAATCATCCTCTTCAACTGCTGTGTTTTGGCTATAGGTACAGTTACAATGAATTAATATTTTGTATGGCATTCAAAATACTACTTTCTTTACATTTTGCTACTTTCACGGCAAATTATTTCACATCTTCAGGAACAATCATCTAAAATAGCATTTATGCCCTTTCTAAATTTTTTTCTGAGATATAATGTGCTTATCTTAGTTCACAGTACTTTATCCTTTTTAACAAACATGAAAGTTTACGTACAAAGAATTGTCAAAAAAGGTGTAAAATGAGTATTTTACTTGCTGTATGACAAATGAGAACAAAACATATTATCAAATCAGTTTAATGCCAGCTGCGTAATTCATATGCGTCATTTGATTAACAGTCACATGCCATAATTAAATCACGATTAATGGTGTGACACTCCAGTGTTTTAACGTTTCAGTTGAAATTACTGTTTTATTACTCAATTCTAAAATATTAATAACTATCTTTACTTTGTAACTCAAAATGAATTTTTTCAACAAACTCGAACATTTAGAAAATGATGATTGTTTCAGACGTATGCACAAATATAATGGACTATGTTGCTTTTTGATGAAATTAGTAAAATTTTGTTCTGTTTTACGTAAAAATCTATAGATTTAAAAACAAAATTGCAAAAAACTATGTTGTTGAGGTGTATGATTAAAATATGTAAAAGTTAACCAATTGTAACACATGTCACAAGAAATGTGCCATTACCGTGAAATAAGTGTATTATATAAGTATGTTAAATGAGCCGTGTCACGACAAAACCAACATAATGGGTTTGCGACAAGCATGGATCCAGACCAGCCTGCACATCAACGCAGTCTGATCAGGATCCATACTGTTCACTAACCAACCCTATATCAAGTAGGGGAACTGATAGCGAACAGCATGGATCCTGTTCAGACTGCTCAAATGCAGACAGATGTTGGTTTTGTCTTGACGCGACTCAAATATGTTCCTTTAAGTGAAATTTACGACTGAAATCAGCTGACATACTTATTATGCGCGTTATTACGACTTGTCGTACTGCAACTTGGTCAATTGAAATATTATTATTTTTTTAGAAAGGATTTTATTTTGCTTGGTAAAAATATTTGAAAGACATTTAAGACTATCCAGAAGTGAAGAAGGATCTAAATTAACTGTATATAATCTTAGAAATGTAGAGGCAACTCTTGTTTTTTTATGCGTGCAACAATAAAGAAAAGATTTAACAAACCTATTTTTATAATCTTTTTTTATCTGATTGTAAAACATATTTATGTATCGTATTATTTACGAAAAATAGAGAAAATAATCCCCAAAGAAAGCCCAACACGGCAAAATTGAAAATGAAAAAGGCTCGGTTTCATTGAGCCTGTTCATGGACGGTACTGTCGAGTTTATAACTACCATGGAAAAGCCACACAGGCTTCAACATCTATTTTATACAAAAAACAACAATGATAATCTGTACTTTGAACACGAATATGTTAATGTCTTTTTTGTTACTATTTCAGAATTTTGCAATCCGAAAGATTACACGTTTATCAAAACTGGAAAATGGCAGCTTGTAACTATGATGATTACATTGGAAACGAGTACCCCCTGAAAAGGGGAATTCTAATTACAATCTTCTCACAGTCGTTCCCACTGAAACATGGAGATGATAATTATCTCAAGAAAAGTATGCTTACAATTGAAGGAGGAGTTAGAGCTGACGTTGATGCACGCTTTTTACAGGATGTTTTTAAAGAGCTTTATCCAGAAACTTCAGACGTAATACTGAAAAATAGCCAAACAAAACTTCAAGTTAAATATTACATACAACAGTTAGGAAAAAAAGAAAATAAAGAATATGACTATTACTTCTTTGTATTTCTTACTTACATGTCATGTAGCAACATTGAAAGCTCTTCTAATAAAGACGAGAGGATTCATCTCTACGATGGACTTTGCCCTATGCAAGAGTTTTATGATGAAGTGAAAAGAGTCGAAGCACTGGCAATGAAGCCAAAGATCTTCCTCGTTCAAGCTGATGATATCAATTTACTTGATGATAAGAAGTTTACCAAAACAAAGGGTGAAATGGTTATTGTAAAAGCGATGAAAATACCTCAAGATGCTGATAGGTTGGTGCTGATGTCCGATTTACCTCAAAGGTTGGCAAATCCAGATTTAAAAGCTGGAGATAAACTTCCGTCATTCTTAATTCAGGCGTTTGGAAAGACCTTGCTTAACAACAGTAAACGGTCTCCGGAAAAGAGGCTGGACCTATTGGCGCTGACACCAATAATAAACAGTAAAGTGCTGAAACGGATTGATGATTTACGGAAAGATGGGAATAAGAGGGCTAAAGATATGACAGTACCGCTTGTATCAACAACCTTGACAAAACTTGTAAAAATATGAATAATATTATTGATTAATTGAATGAACAAATATTTTGTATCGAAGTCTACGTTGTTAACATTTCTCTCCCTTTATATCAAATAATTTCACATTCGGCTCCACTCTCGTTTGGTAATAAACATCTAACATGCTCTAAATCTATTATCTTAGCTTTATAATACTAATGCTTGAACTTTCAAATTAATCGTTTTTTGCCGGTGAAGTTAATTCAAGCTTTTGGAAATTTAGGAGTCATTTATACATTGATACCACTTGAATGGACGGCTTTGAAAAACATGTGAAAATTAGACAATTTTATATTTCATGCCCCTTAAAGGAACTCCACCGAAGTCCTAAACTGTTCAAAACAAATGATTTGAAATTTTAAAACGGAAAATATACATAAATGATAAAGAAGTATAGACAGAATTAAAATCATAAAAATGAGTTTTTCTTTAAGTTTCAAGCCATTTTGCACAATACAAATAGATGTTCTATAGAAAGACGGAGTGAGCGATTACAACAAAATTTTGCACACTAGTTACTTGTTCATTATGTAATAGAAAGAGCACCCAAACACGAGGCTATCTGATTTGTACGAGGGGCCGTAGCCCCCGAGTATAAATCAGATTGCCGAGTGTTTAGGTGTTCTTTCCGTTTTGTATCATAGTCAAACATGACAGCACGTTCCCTGTTGTCATCATATGTAACCCCAGAAAAAATTAACAAATGAACGAGCATTTGAATATGATATTTCTGCCCCTTTCCCTTTCTCTGCCGTCACAATAAGTAAACCCCAGCAAAAATGAACCAATCAACGGACATTGTCTGGAGTGCGGGTAACTGATACCTGCACTCCAGTTACCGCACTGTGCATGTATATGTATACGATTTAACTCCGACACTTTTTCAACAGAAATGTCCCCTAACTATACAATACATAAAATGGTACACGAATCTTGTTATAATATTTCCATATAAAAAACCTCAGTGGAGTCCCTTTAATTTATCTCAACATCTGGAAAAATAATGGACATTTATAGCAAAATCAGTTTTAAAATAAATCACAAGCAGTTCTTCAATTTTAGATAGTGTAAACATATAAAGTAAGAGAAAGAGCACCGAAACACGAGGCTATCTCATTTGTACAAGGGGGCGTAGCCCCCCGAGTATAAATCAGATTGCCGAGTGTTTTGGTGTTCTTTCTCTTTTGTATCATAGTCAAACATAAAAACACGTTCCCTGTTGTCACAATTTTAAACCCCGGGAAAAAGTAACCAATGATCGAGCATCTCAATATGATATTTCTGCCGTTTTCCCTTTCTCTGCCGTCACAAAATGTAAACCCCAGCAAAAATGAGCCAATCAACGGGCATGATCTGGAGTGCGGGTAACTGATACCTGCACTCCAGTTACCGCACTGTGCATGTATATGTATACAATTTAACTCTGACACTTTTTCAACAGAAAGGTCCCCAAACTATGATACAATTATAGTCTATATACTTATTAATTTTATCACTTTCTAATATTAATGGTTAATAAGCGTGGTACAAGCATCATCAGTACTTTTTTTACTATAACTCTTGTAAACGAAAAGTATTGTTAGCAGTGACTGATGCTGCATTATTATTATTATTATTATCATTATTGGCGGCCGCGCCGAAGCGCGGCGCTCTTATGGAATGAAATCAGATTTTGTGAAAGGGCGACAGCAACTTCTCGAGCCTTTTAGTCGGTCATAATAAAAGCCGAAAATTCCGATCGGTATGAGGGTGCTTGATTATTAATTAATAATGAAATGTCGCGATATGTTACAATGAATTTTCGCAATGCAAACATTTTCAAATGAAATAACCTTTTCCGTCAATAAATTGCGCTCTTCGGGGTTTTTTATTTATCATTTTGTAGTACACAGTCGGTTACCATGGTATGTTATTGTTGTACATGTTTCCTAGAATGATCAGTTGATGACCTAAATATTCCAAAAACCTATTTATAGATATATTTATCACTCCTATCGGTAAATGCCGGTCTCTCCCGGTCTATTTTGACCAGGATTTACTAGTGACCGGCGAATAGTACCACACGTTTATTGTCCGGTCTCTCCCGGTTTTGGAGTAGATGTTTGCTATCGTTACAATTAGAAAAAAACAACAATAGCATGTTTCATTTTATCTATATGAGATAAAAACAATAAATATGTACACGGATTTATATGTAATGTAAAAACGTGATTTGTACAATAATTGAGAAAAAGGTACATTTTATATGGTATTAAAATGACATTATCAACTTTGAAACATTTTATTTAATTTGTTATCCGTGTTTAGTAAAGATGCCGAGGAATTATTCAAAGTTACAAATTAGATTTTATGAATTATTCAATTGATTGATAATTTAAAAAATGATAAAGAAAACTACAATGTACATGGTTTAAGAATAAACAATATTATATATTGAAAGATAAACCATAATTTACTGACTTTTTCCAGTTAAGCTTTGACTTAATCGTCAGTCAATATGACAATTGAATTCTTACAATTTATTTTACAATTTTAATAAAAAAAGAGTAGTAAAAACTCAGTATTAAAATAGCACATAAAACACAAAAAAGAATAAAAGAAAACAATATTCATAAAATTTGTATTTTTTTAATTAAAATTACTAGATATTACAATTATTGTATAATAAACAATTATGCTCAACATGATCAACATGGTAATATAACCAGTGTCATATTTTTACTAACTTAAAGTGTGAACAGATACCTTAAGGGGGTCTTCGCTAATAGCGATAACATAATAAGGGACAATTACAAATGTGTGGTACGTGTTGATCATGCGTTACACATATGGATTATAAATGATTGCATACATGTATATCCGTTGCTATTAATAACCACGATCATAAAGAAATAACAAGTAATATTCTAATCTCTAGCATGCCAATCAAAGTTCATAATGAACAATGTCTTTCGTCCGCTCATTCATAAGTGATATACATTTCTGGTAGTTTATAAGAATATCTTGTCATCATATGTGTACTACTTCATCTTCACTTGCTGCATTTCTTGATTGGACGCCCTTTGATGCTTTGCATCAATGCTTTTCTTGTTATTATCTTTAAATAAGAACTATCGTAATTATATGAGCAGTGCATAGTGTGTTATCTTCTCTATGTGAGCATCAATGAGTCATGCTTATGAAGCGAGTCAATCTGCGACTTTGAGTTATCTTGAGACAAGTGATGAGTAATAAATTATTTAAAAAATCAAACAAATTGTTGAACATAGATTGTAGTATTATTATCTTGCATAAAATTAATCCAAATGTCATATTTGACCTTTACGGTCAATGTCATTTAAAGGTCAATGTCTCATTTGAAAATGTCAGTTATGTCGTAAGTGTTCTTTTGTCCAAGAATGAATTCATAAAGAAATGACAGAGTTATGACAATTTAAAATGAATTTCAATAATTTGACCTTTACGGTTATAAAGGTTAATAAAATTGTTATATTTGTCGTGTCAATACTTGTTTATTTGGGTAACCAAGGGTTGTGGTTTGGTGAAGGTACCATCTACCTTTTACTGACATGCATTCATATTATTATATGCTTTCGTGTGGATTATTGTTAAATAAATATTAATTATATATTTTATGTTACTAAATATAAATAAAATTTGATATAATTTTCACAGTGAAAGTTTTTCTTATCTCTTTAAGTCAAACACAATGGAGGAAGAATAATGAAGATTGTAGTAAAGATCACTCCTGTAAAACATGATTATTTTGTTCAAAATTAGCCGAAATTTCATATCTGACTTTACGGTCAAAATCATTCAAGTCACATTTTTTCAAATAGTTAAGCTTAATAAAAACTGTAAAGATGATATCATGATTATGATGGGGGATAACTGCAATAAAAAACAATTAAGGAAAACATACATACATTTACTTTATTATTCCAATATATATAAAAATCCCAAACGATAATAATGTTTTTATATTTCTAAACATGTAGTACACACGAAAGACTGTCACAGTAAAGCATGATAATTGTGTCTTTTTGCCTACCTGTATTTTCTTTCCCTTCTCAAAACGCAAGTTGTTTCAAGCGTCAAAAAATTAATTTTGAATCTTTTCATGGAATGGATCAATTTATACATTTTCCATTATTAAGTCAAAGGAACATGTTTTCAAGTTAGAGAAACTCATTGAACTGTCCATTATGTAAGAAAATGAACGTATCTCGGCGCAAAAAACTCGATCTGCCTATTCTTTTACATATTGGACAACTTCTATTAAATACAATTCAATACAATACAACGATATGTAGAACTTTTTTATCAAAAAGTCACCCTTTGTAGGTATACAGAAAGCAATATTAAATGTTTAAGCAAGCTATGGCCATCTCAGTTTCACAGGAAAAATTAAAATATGTTTAAATAATACAAAATAATGGGTATGGCTAACATAAATTTTGTTAAAAACAACAACAACAGCAACAAAATGATGCTACATGTCATATATCTAATCTTTTATGCAGTTAAATCCAGCTAATGCTGTCTTCTTCTGCAGTTTGTAATATATCACAAAATAAATACTCAATGGAATCAATATGAATATCTTCACATACTTTCAGAGAAAATAGACATAACACAAGCTTAAATGTTCTACAAAATTGATAATTTGCCTAAAACATACTTTACCATAAAAACATAATTCAAAATGTACGTTGGAAAAATAACTGTCTAACGACAGCACTGATTTGTAGCAACATGCATCCATTATGGGGGTAAAGACGTGAGGTTAAGCCGTCGGCCTAGTAATCTAAGGATCTCTAGCCACATGAGTTCAAATCCCGTCAAGGCAAGCAGTTGTTTCCTTGAGCAAAAAACTTTACAATCATTGCTCAGTACTGGTTGGAACGGACTTAAAGAGTATGTTATAAGCTTATAGCTTCCAGCATAATCAAATTGAAATAAAACATGTATAAATCAACATGAATCAATACAATGTAATTGCAGATGAGAAAACAAGGCACTTTCAACATATAACAGCATTTTTGAACATACATTTCTACACTGTTCAGCATTGAAGGCATGTTTTTAGTAAGTGGGATTAAATACCACCTGGCTAAATATAGATAAAACTCCAAACAATGTTTTGTTATAAAAAAAAGTCTTGTATACATACATGTTCATGTATCATTTACAGAAGTCTTAAATTTAAATTTGTTAAAAATAAACCACAATACATTATGTTTAGATAGTATCATTTGTCTTTACAATAAACATATGCACACAGAGAACAAACTACGTATAAAGGAAGGTTTAATGGAACATGGAGTTATGCATTCAGTTTGCATATATAAATTTAACATGCATTGAATCAGTCCTAACATTATGGTTGGTAAGGTCTGTCTATAATAATGTTACCAATGTATGAAAACTAAAAAAAATCAATTCTATTCAATTCAATTAAAAAATACAATGCCTATAGCACAATACAATTTAACATTTCATGATATGGTGCATAGAGATTACATAAATGTTTTCTAAGAGACAATAAATATGTGTATCAAAAACATTAATTTTAATACAATATATTTTGTTTACAATATCGTCATATCATACAAAAAACAAAAATCAAACATAGTAAACGTATGCTAGAAATGATATAGAAAAAAGTTTATAATGTGTTTCTTATTCTCATTGCTGAGTAAATGAATTGAGATAAAACAGTCAAAGTTTTACGGGATGTGTTGGAATTAAGAGTTTCAAATTTATTAATGTTTGGCAAATGCCAATATTATTTAAAACGAATCTTAACTGACGACAATGCGGACATGCCAGTAAAAATGATATTCAGAGGAAATGCGTGTGGTTATTGACTCGAAAAGATTCTGCAGACCTAATATCCTATGGATGATCATTGCATGTTTTTGTTTAAAACTCTTTAGAGAAAGCGTACTTTTAATATAAAATGATTGCATATTAGCGTTGCATAGCACACATATTGCTTGTTTGGTTTTCTCATTTATTTTTGAAGTTCTTTCTGGGAATATAACCTCGTGAAATCCAAGATTTTAAATTATTTCTTTCATGTAAGGTACTCGGGAGAATGACAAATAGAGCTAGATAAAGGTAATAAATACGTGAAAGTTGTGCTATTATGTTTATGCTATTTAATTAACTTTAATATCACCGACAATTTTACATATAATGAGATATTATCTGACATTTAGTGATGAAAGACTACTCATAACTTGTCGAAAAAATACGAGAAAGCGATGACGAACAGTCCTTACATATACCAAAAGGCAAAGTATAAAATACACCATTCGGTATACTGATTACGTGTGCGCCAAATACCGGAAAATGATATTATGGCAAATAATCCGCAAATATAACGGACAGGCAAGTGGAACAACGTGAAATCATACAGCCTACGATAGTTAATAGCTTAATTTCACATCCATTTAATCCGTCTTACCATATAGAATTTCGCTTTCTTCATCTCCATTGTTCTTTTTCCCGTGTCTCTTAGCAGATTCGGACTCAAGAGTTTCATTTCCAAGTGATGAATTTCCTTCTTTTCCTATTTCAACATATTGATAAAACATATGAAATACATTGAAAAAAATCTCGACTTCTTGAAATTTAATAAATTGTATCAAAAAAGTAAGATAAATGAAAATATTAACGGAAAAAATATAATTTTAACATTTTAAACAAATGACTAGAAAGAATAAAAGAAAGGTGAAATAATACCAAATTCTACGACATCAAACGCTATTGGCTCTTTCCAAGTAAACCCAAGAACAAATGTAACTGATCGGTTACTCAAATGTGGACATGGATAGTATGTCCGTATCCTAAATTTATAGGATTCTTTGACATATTCTGCCTGTAAAATAGAATTTGAACATTAAGTGTATATCAAGCATAACAAGTGTCAAGTGTTTTTGTTAATTTTTGTTGTTGTTTTTGTTGTTTTGTTCTATTTTACTCTTAGCCAAAAAAAAGGATAATTTTGTTCCTTATCATGGAAAATGCTAATGACAAATACCTCATGCGTAATATTGTTCCCAGTGTCATCAACAAAACCTTCCAGTCTTGCTAACCTCTCTTCTACAAATGTTTCTCTCCAGAAAAAGTCTTTGTAAACCGGCTTTCTGACTCTTCCAGTTTCCTTCTTTTTCTTATCCATCCATTCTCTTTTAATGGATTCAAGATCTATTATATCATTCCCAGGACTTCCTTTGCCCAGTGCAAAATAGTTCTTTGGCCTATACCTTCTGCCTTGCTCTAGTGTTTTAATGTAGAAATTGTTATTATATGATTCTTCCCATTTCTTGATCAGTTGCTCATATGTAGTAGGTTTTGACATTGCTTCAACATCTAACATAGTTCTCGTCTTCAACGGCCAATGCAGCATTGCGTAGTACAAAAATGTTTCAAGATAAAGACGCTTTGATGCTGCTGCTTGCGTTTGCTTTGCTACTAGTTTTGTGCTGTAAGAAAGCAATCGCTTGTATTCCCCCATAGAACAAACTACACTACTGTGAGTGTTTGGACCTTGATTAGATAATGTAATAATTTTATCTCCTAAATAAACGAGAAGATCTCTTTCATCAACTTGTTGATTACAGTCTTGTTCTAAATGCTGTCTAGCTTCTTCGACTCTTTGTGTAAATGCTTGATTTCGTCGCACTTTTGCCTCCATTACCCCGAGCGTATTACAACCTGCTCCTGGATGCTGTTCAATTTCATGCTGGTGGTTCTCAGTTGCAATTCTTCTTGTATCTTCTGGTGTCATTTGTGCCTCCAGGTCAATACATTCTTCTCCACTTATAATTTCTATATCGGTAAATTCTAACGATTCTCGTTCCACTTTTGTCATTTCTATAAAGTGACCATTGCAATGTGGAAGTTTGCAAACTACAGCTGGGTTTTGCTTAAATATATTTCCACCTGTCAACATTTTACGAAGCAGTTTTTCAAGAAGACTTGAAGTGCTGATTCTGTTGTCGTTGAACTGCTCTAAATTCATCCTTTCTTGTAGAACATTTTCATAAAAATTCTCTGATTCTTGAATGGCATGTTCACTCACAGGTAAGATACCGGCATCTGGTTTAAGGCTGTACACATAGCATTGCTGTTTTTGGTTGCCCTTCGGAGGAAAGAATATCTTAAGAAAGGATTTCGAAATATATTTTGAAAATGGAACAACATCTATCTCGATAACAATACCGTCTCCTTCAACTGGAATAAACTGTGCTGGTCGAACACATTTAAATGCTACATATGCCTTTTCTTTGAAACATACATTAATGGCTTCTCCTATTTTCTTATCTAAACAATGCCACAGTTTGCTATTTTGCATACCTTTTATTTTGCCAATACAGTTTCCGGAATGTTCTATCCCAAAATGAATCGTGCCATTCTTTCGGCCATTTATACAGGCAGCGGTAAATTTTATAACCTCTTTCACAACAAAGTGCTCAATGTATATTTTGCTTGTTGGTGGGCATCTGAATTCGTGTGCTGGTATTAAGAGATTACCTAGATTTGGTTGCACTTTAAGTCTCTGGTAGCTCTGTCTCGTAAAAGGAGAATCAAAAAGACGTAAATTTTCAACGGCTTCAGTTGTAAATTTAATATCGCTATGATCTCTTATTTCATTCTTTTTGTTCTCCAAAAATTTCTTTACACCGAAACCGTATTTCAGATTAGTTTCTTCATTATCATGTGAATGTTCTATATATGGTGAAAAGACATCTTTCATATCATCTGGTGACATCTCTAAAAAGATTGATGGTGCAATAGTTTGTTCCCGGATAGCTCTGGACAGTGGACCTACAAGTCTCTCATCAAGTTTTGAAATACAATTACCCATAAAGTATGCAAAGGTTTCGCAAGTCATGAGCGACACATTTACATTGTCCGTACCATTGTCAGAGACTGAAACAGATGAATAATCTCCCTGATTGAAATCGCTTGATAAATTATAAATGTTAAGAATTGTGAATAATCACAAAGAAAATCAAAATTATTCACATTAATTAGCTAAATGAAGAAAGAGGTTCAAAAAGTTTTTAGAAAAGCATTTAGAATCAAGTTTGTAAAATTTAAGAAACAATTGTTAAAAAAAGATGTTTATACTTTACTGTATCGAGTACTATGTTGTTTAATCATAAATGAAACGATAGTGTAATATACTGAATACTTCCATTACATATAGAATGATCTACCCAACGATAAACTGCAATTAAAAAAAACTGAAAGCCATCAGGCATATCTTCATAAAGGAGATTCATACCTTCTTCGTTTCCTTTTTTGATTTCATTTCTCCAGGCCAAGCCAATAAAACTGTAATCAAATAAATTTCAATATTTGCTTTATAGAGAATTCGTTTTAGTTTGTGTAGGAAGCTTATAGATACACACTCGAATCTGTTACTGGAACCAACTAGTAGTGAGCAATGAGTGCGAAGTTTCGTACTCAAGGAAACTCACCCCGATAGCGATCTTTAGATAGCTGACCCGATGCGATAAGCCATGTTGCCACATAATAATTAAATAGATATTCGTCTTCATTTTAAAAAAAGAAATTATTTTTCAACCGAAAAAATATCTTTTAATGTTTTGTGAGAATATTACCTGAAATCTTCTGTCGTGTACCTCACATTTGGAAAGACAGCGCTTACATACATTTGAATTTTCTTAAACGCCATCGGAACTCCAAAACGTTTCTCAACAAAAATATGGAGGCGTTCAGTAGGAATAGACTTATTCTCTCTTTCCATTAAATGTTCTTTTAGTATTTCCTTGACCTTTTCTTCTTCGTATTCTTTTAAATATTGTTCTGCAACAGCCAGATGTGAAATATGAATATGTTACCTCAATTCCCATACAGTTGATATGTAATAAATGCACAAGTACAAACATACGACAAACTATTTTCTTATTTGTATATTAACAAAGCCAAAGTTTCTACAATGCATCACTGAATACGACTTATTTAACGCATATGGTGTCTTTTCTTCAAAGAAACGCAGGAATTTAATTATTTTGAGAGTGTTTGAATGGCGTTATTGCCATTCTGCTTTTTTTTGGACAACTTTTTGATGGTTTTCGCCTTTAAAGTAAAATTTAAATATAACAACAAGTACAGAGAAGAAAGATCGACAACTCAAAAGGCTTAGAAAATGCACTTAAAATGACTATGTCGCTAAGTTACAAACAATTTTAAACAGAAAATAATTATAACTATATGAAATTGATCAGTCTTACCAATTTCTCTTCCATCTGTATTTGAATTCTCCACCAAGTCTGCCATTACATGTGCTAACTGTCGCAGGCATTGACACAGTTTGCATAAATTGACGGTAGTCTCATTCATCATGTGAAGAACGAGCTGCTGCATTTGCTCTTCATATGAATATTCGTCCTCTATTTATCGTTTTGTTGTGTCACTTATTACATTTTCCTCTTTCAGCATATGAAGGAAAGTACTAACATCGATTCCACGCGTGAGTTGCCTCACCCACTTTGTTAATCCAATTTTAATCATCCAAGCGCTAGCGCTAGAAGAATTCGCTTCAATATCAAAATATGATAATTTTATGAAAACACCTACAAGATATCTCTTGTCAGATGGCTTATTAAAAAATTATTTTTTTTATTTATTTTTTTTTATTTTCGTTACGCATGACTTTCAATTTTTAAGGTGACAATCATTAATAAACTAATTCAATTCAACATCAGGTCTCCTGTATTCTTAAATTGTACAAATGCATATGCAAATAAACTAAATTGTCTAAAATTAGTTCAACATGCTACTTTAGTTTCTAATACAGCTTGATATTTTACATGATACTTCATGTACTTACCACTTTCATCGTCCGTGGCTTCCACAACCTTTATTACGTACACTTCATTGTTAAGTTTTATTCTATCTAAGTTGCAGTGACTATATACCAATTCTTGACGCCTTATATCATTGATTTCACTGAATAGTTCTTGTGAATAGTTTCTTCGTTTTACAGATATTTCCTTTCCAAGACTTAAAATAGACTGCTTTGTATCGTTAAAGATTGTATCATCATCTAACTCTGCTTTGACCGCATGCGCCAATGTGTTTCTTATTTGTTTAAGTTCATTGATGCTTTTTCTGGCTTCAGGTGAGAGTTGCTCTGGGAAGGTTTTAAGAAGAAGAACCGTTAATAAAGAAATATCCATATGACGTAGACTTGGAGTGCTTGAAGAGAGTGTTTGAAATTGTTCCTGAGGAAGGTTTCTGTATTCTTTAATTGTTCTGTTGACACATGGTTCACGAACATGCTGCTTAAGACTTACTCCTTTCCTCTGCAGGTATAGGTTTGCAAGGTCTCTCATTGTTTCTGATCCAACATTTATATTCAGATCCAATGCCCGGTGAAAATGTTTCCGTTTTTCTACGGTAAGATTTTTTATCTGGTGTACCTTTGCAATTTGAGACATTTTGCACAAATGCTCGGAAATTCAGTCAGTCAAATAATTTTGTCTGAAAACCAAAACCAAAACTATTGTTCATTATCATCAAAGTAAGAGATAATCTTATAAAAAGACAGTTTCACCCAGACAAAATCAAAGCACTGAGACTTTACAATTGATGAAAAAAATATTTTTTTTTAAAAAGGTCTCCTAACGAAACATGGCTGTTGAATTACACTTCCCCCTTTCCTTTTCATTTAAAGATACGTTTTAAAGTTCTTTTTATATAGACACATGTACATTGTATATGTGATTAAGAAAGGCACATATAAAATCTATTGTGAAGAAAGTGACCCAGCTCAGGTGTTAATACACTTGTGTAGACCTGTCGTATTACCCATTCCTTGATAGTTTTAATGCTCACTAGATTATTTTCGAAGACATGTTTACAGTTTTAAGATGAACTAATGTGACCATGACCTGTTGACCTACCCTTACAATTTTTAAGCTATGGCCTTTGAAGTTTTGTCTCTGGTAAACCTGCATATTGGATGTCTTTTTATAAGTTTTTCATAAGGAATTATAGGCGAGAATGAAATGTTTGAAGTTGTATACATGTTACATAGGGCTATTAAACGATACAGATAAAATGTCTTAACAGTTGTTTATCTACACCGACACTTTACCACGTAAATATTTTATTCCTAAACAATTTAATAGATAAGCGGTAGCAGGTATAATATTGAAGTAATACGACGTTATAAAAGACAAATTATAATTTCTTTAGAAGCAAAAGTCATACCTTTAAAAACAATATATAAAAACTTGTTGACATTTAAGTACTTCCACTGTATTTTTTAATTTGTCCTCCATGTTGCACAAAGTCGCTGTCACTAACAATGTCGATAACAACGTTTAAAGCGCGCATATCTTGATATTCAATGTTATGAAATTCGAGATGAGTTTATAACTTGGTTTGCATTCAGTGCATACACTATCAATTTATATCTTACTTAAAGTTAACAATTAGCAATGAAATATGCACACTGAAAAGTAAATGAAAATAATATGTATCAAAGTATATATAGCTGGTACATTAAATGCGTTACATTTTATCTTTATCAATATGAATTTACCTTAAAAAAGGGTGGAATTTCCCTATTAAATTCTTACAGGCCAATTCATGTATTTTTTTCCATTTTAATATATTACCAAAAACGGATTTTACATGTAGACATTTTGATATTCTAAGTGGTTGCAAGATGTTGTAACTATATATATGGGATTTGTATCTGGTAAAAGCATTTCTATGGAAACGTAAATATGTTTTATAAAGATTTCATTTATTTTGTCTCGTGTACATTTTGACAATACACATGACATGCTAAATCCAAGTTTACTGTATATCTACTATTATAAACTCCATATATCGTGGAATAATATATACATATTATAATCACAATTAACAATTAAGTAGAGTTAAATATATGTAAACAGCATAGATATATTATTAAACACAAAATTTTTGTTGTTGTTTTTGCGTGTGTGTTTTCATAATCTTTCTATTTTTTATTATTAAAATAGAGGGTAAAAATCGAAATACTGCTCCTAAAATTGTTTCTACATGCTTTTACATGTACATGTATTTAATTATCATTCGGGGAAATTCCGCGCGTTTTTATCTAGTATTATCTACTATGCGATGAAGAACAGGTTTTGATAACCTAACTATACAGGTTTATTTTCCGAAAATTGTACGGTTGACATGTATAAATGTATACGTGTTATAAAGTGTTAAAAAACAAACCATATTTTGAGTGTAAACTTGTTGGGTGCTACATTTGAGATAACAATATAATATTGTTAATATTCTTATTTCTTTTTTTAACACTTTATACCCCACTAAACATATGTAGCTGCATGTAGCTGACCTAAAGAAAATATCGAGCAATTCAATTACTTCCATATATAAAGGGCCTACAACGGCTGCCGGTATACAAACCGGAATATCTAGCTCGAGGGTAACTGTTTACGGCGGTAACCCAATCTCTTCTATATAGAACAACTCATAATTTATATACTCTGAATAATATTAAATCAGATTGGGTCTGTTTTGTTCGAAATTATTTAAATGATCTTGGATTGTCGCATTTTTGGATAAATCAAAATGTGGAATCTCCTGCTTCATTCAAGAATACTGTCAACTTAAGACTGCGTGATCATTTTATGCAAAATTGGAGAAGTACAATTAATAATTCCAGTAAATGTCTAAATTACTGGGTTTATAAACAGGATTTTTGTTACCTCAGCAAGTTACCTGTGAATTTAGCTTTAATTCTCTTTAAATTTAGAAGTATGATTCACAAACTTCCTATTGAAAAAGGAAGGTTTGATGATATTCAAAGAGAACTTAGAACTTGTAACCTATTGTAGTGTAAAAATATTTTTTAAATTGAATATAATCTATTTTGTTCTTGTAAATCGTGTGCACACGTAAAATGGTATATTAAACTCTTCACTGATACAAAAGTTTGGAGAAAGTGTGCAATGAGTCGGATAGACAAATTAATTGGTAGATCCACGGAACATATGGTGTGCCGTTGGTCTTAGTCAGGCCGCACATATTTCTCATCTTATGGCATTTGACGCCCGATGGGGGACCATGAAGGTTTATTGCTCTAGAGTCCCTAAGAAGTATACTTGATTCTAGTATTTAATCAAACTTTTCATAGATAGATATGTGGGTTTTTTTTACAAAAACTTATTTTGTACATTTGTGCGGTGGAAATACTGCAGTTTCGATTATTATTTATTTAGCACTACTTTAAACATTAACCAGAATTAATAATCAGACAATGTTATTGTATAGTTTATTTAGGAATACTGTACTGTATATACGATTTTTTAAAAATTCATTTTTTTATATGTGTTTCCTTTTTTCGTTCATTTTACAAGTTACCTTGTGTGTTATTTACATTTCTTTTTGAAAGGAATATGTGAAAAAAGTATATACTAAATAAATAATAAAGTGAAACAGGAACACGGTTGACCTGAGACAGATCTACTTGGGCTGGATTGACTTATTTGGGACCGGGTTTACCTAGACCTGGTTTACCTAATATGGGTCAGGTTCAAAAGTTTATTAACTTGATAAGAATATCTCCCAGTTTGGTCTAAACCCGGTACGGAAGAAGACCCGACCTGTCCTACATCTACATCATACTGCTTAACAATCATTTCTGATTATGACTACCAGGCGTTGTAGAAAGTAGTTTTTTTCTAATTTTAAAGTAGCCCAATTAAACTGTGTAGTTTTTGTGTATTATATGATGACTTTAAAAGCTGATTTTTTGTGTGTATTCTCCAGGAACTCATTTGTTTGTAGAAGGATTAAAGATGTCATACCCACCAGCAGTCAGGAGTTTTTAAAGTGGTGAATTTAAATAGTGTTACAACAGAATGAAGAATTCTGAAAAAAGTAGATGGCTAACTTATTATATTTTGGGCCTCATTGGACTTAGATAGTGTTAATGTTTAAAGTTGAAGACAGTATATAATTCATCGAGAACAGTCGAATCCAGAATTAAGCCTCAAATGTGACTGATTTACTATAGAACATAGAATACGAAAATTCACTGGGCCATTCACCGGGCCGAGTCCGTTTCCAGAATATTTAGTGTTACTTGACCCAAAATACACTGTACGGAAAATAAACGTACGAGCTTTTATTCTCATAAATATAAACCAATTAAAACGTCAGAAAATATTCACACCATTATAAACTTCCGGAAATCGGCTCAGATCAGAGTGAAAAAAAATAAAAATGCTTATCAAAGTAAAGGTACGTTAACATTTTCGACTGGTACATAGTATATTGATGTATCTTTGTTTTGACAGATTTTTTAAAAAGTTTTTTTCTATTTTCAGACACTAACAGGGAAAGAGGTAAGTTAAGAAATTCTAGTTATTGATCAGGCTGGGCACATCTCCCAGTCGGGCTAAATTAGCTCAATCGGGGTAATTTAGCCCGATTGAGCTAAAATCCAATGAATGAAAATGATAAAATGTGTCGGAAATTTATGGAAGCGTATAAAATCGAGTACTCTCCCTTGTCTCGATGTGATCCAGTTTCTACAATAACACATCTGATACATTAAATTATGCTGTACTCGCTTGATCTTATTGCGCAATTTGGTGTAAAAAATACCGAATTTTGAAAATTAGATCAACATATACCCAAATCTGTTATATTAACTCCAAAACTGTACAAAATTCTTCGCCAATTCAACGCAGCTTCATCATCGACGCCATCTTGGAAAGACTGATTAAAATCCGTCATGCACGAAACACTTTAATCTATTGTTTTTCATTAATTGATATAGGGTGTGTGCATATTTTAGATACATCATAATTATTTTTATACATGTAAAATGAATTAAAAATAATAATATCTATATATATGTTTAATATGAAATTAGGCAAGGCCTATGAACGGGGAAGTCGTTAAAAATTCCTTTCATTCTTTCCGTTTTAAAGGTGTTATTCGGTATTATATGCACCGCTTCCGTTTTCACTCGGAACACTCGACGATTATCATTTATCCGAAAAGTTGAGATTTGTTCCGTTATCGGAATACCCCGCCTATTATCATTGAGTTACATTGTAAATGGCGGCGCCCGACTAGAACTGACACTGAAAAAATCATTGATAGGTATAGAATTCTATATATTTTTTAATTGTTTTTTATTTGATTTTCTTTTACATATACACGTGTAGTCTATAGCCGGGCAAGCCAAAGCCCGGACCCGCTTCGCGGGCCCGGTCTTTGACTTCCCCGTATAAAATATACCACGTAACTTTTTTGCACGAGTTTTTCGGTTTGAGGTCATATTGAGTTCGTATGCAGTGAAGACTAGAGATGTCGGTAAGTACATATGAACACGTGTATTTTGATGATTATTGGTATTCATTCTCTGAACTTTCTGCAGATTCTGAAATGATATATTTGTAAAGCATCAATAATAATTGAATAATTTTAGTTTCAGTAATTGTTAATACTTGTTTGTTGTTTTAAATGATTCTTATAATAGTTTATCGTTTTTCACATGTTATATATTAATTTATTTACACTAATTTTAAGAGAATGTGTACCTGTAGAACTTTTGTCACAGAAGCATAAGAGCATGGATTGACCATTATAGGCTCTCCTACAACAACGTTCGGGGACTCTTTATGGTGCATGCTTGGAATCCAATTATAATGATCAAACATGTCCTGTTCAACGACTGGATTAACTCCAGCTGAATATAAATATAATTGTAATTGAATTTGAGAAATTAAAGACCAATTAACTACTGCATCATGACATTTAAATAGACATTGTGTTTGTCTGAATTCATGACGAAATCAAAATGCGTTCATGATGTAATTTTGTACGTGTAATTAGATTTATTTGCTTTATTATTACCTATGCAAGGAAACAAAATCTAAAATAATCTAAATAATGTGTTTAAAATATATATATTTTTAAAAATATTTTGGGATAATGAATACAAATTATGTCAGAAATTACCTTCAATTTTTTCATCAATGTAATCACGTGTCATACTAGTATTGTGTGCTCCCATGTCGTTGACAACTTTGGCCAGTCGTTTTTCAATCAATTGATTCCTTACATTTTGGAAGACAGATTCATTGTCATGCAACATTGATTTGATTTTTGAAAATGTGTCAACATTATAACAGTTGTAATACCATTTTGACGGTGAAATTTCTTGTTGTTTTTGAAGATTTGTTTTCTTTGCTGGTATAATATTAACAACAGTGGTAACAACACTTGCCTTTGATTTATAATTATAATTAACCCGCCAATTTCTGGCCACAACTTGGTTATTGTCAAAATAAGTAAACGTGTCAGTGGACTCGGAGTAACTGAGGGACGTGTCAGAGACATTCTTCAGCCATTCAGTTAGACATGAATATATAGCTACCTGCTGGGGAATGAACGCTATTCAATTTAGTTATAATTTTGCTGCCAGTGATATAATAGCTAATAAGATTTTTATAAAATGGTATTGGTGTTATAGTTGAAAGATTCCTG